AAAGACCGAAAACAATGAAGTCAGAAAGAGAATGGTTAGCTAGATTAAAATGGCGGGAAACTGGTTTGGTGGGATCGTTATTGCGAATATCATAAAGATGATTGCAAATGCGATCACCAAGACGGCGGCCAGTCGTCAGGAAAAAAATAAATGAAAAACGAACATCGTGTTGAAGGAGTTATACTAACATGCTGGATATCCAACCATCACCACCACCTAAAAAAAGGGACAAGTTTAAAGACTTAATAAAATTAATAAATAAGTTGATTCGTACGTTTTATCTTTAATCTCAGAAATTTCGAAAATCCTGAAATTTATTGAGGGATAAATATAATGTCTCAGAGCCACTTTGGTGCAATAGTAGATTTAATAAACTCAGTTTATCCATCTAGGCATTAATTAATCTATGATCTAGACCGAATAAGGTGGAAAACTAGTGAAAACTAGTGTAAACTGCGTCGGTGTTTTCAGTAAAACAGTTGATAGATAGATAATTTGTAACACCGTATGGTATGTAAAAATGAAACTGACGTTTCGGACGTTAGTCCTTCATCGGAGTAAACCAGTTTACACAGTTTAAACCAGTTTACTCCGATGAAGGACTAACGTCCGAAACGTCAGTTTCATTTTTACATACCATACGGTGTTACAAATTATCTATCTATCAACTATGATCTAGACCGATTCCATTCTTCGTTAATATAGTGAAGAGTAGGAGAGGAAATAGACGATTGCTGAGGAGAAAGAAGCGGTGATGACAGCATGACAGAACGGGTTTAAAAAGTAGAGTGAAAGTAGTTCTTAATAGTACGAGCAAAATCGTCGTCTCCACGAAGTAGGTTTTAATAGACGCCAATCATGGCGTTTTCATGCGGATATTCCATAAGGCATGCGCCTTTAAACCGTTGTGTTTTGCGACAATGTGATGGAAACAAAATCCTATTTTTGAAGTAGTCATATTTAGTATCGAGGATTGCTTCGACTACAAGGTTGTGCTCCCAACTGCTCGCAAAGTTGCGCATTTTACCCCGATACACTCGATATCTATTTGTAGTAATGTAGTAGTATGGATTTGCAAATGGCGTTTTTAAATGTGTTTACCTCTTGTTCCTTAGCAACCAAGGTGGCTGTGGATGGTGTGTATATTGGTCCGTTTGTGTCCAGAGATTTCTATATATCAAACAACGAAATCATCAGAAAAGATGAGCTGTTTTGAATCTGTGGTTGCAATACTTATGTAGTGCATATAATATTGGGCATCAGTTTTCACCATGCAAAGCAAAGGATTTGAAAAGATAATGAACGAATGGTAATGGTTTCACTCGCTTCTCCAAAAGTCTCTCTCCATACAATAGTCCCAAATCTAGGCCTGATACTTGGTTAGTTTTCTACACTCCAGTTGATTAACAAACTAAGACCAAAGGATTTCTATTCTATCAGTTAAAAGGACAGTTCACTCACTGGATCAAACACAGGCATGTTGAAGGTTGCTGGCTTCTTCTCGAGGAAAAATTCCTCAGGAGTTTGAAACTTGATTCCAATATTTGCTGCAAACTGTAGATAGCAGCAAAAGATTAAAGATGTATTACTGAAAGCTTTGAAGTCTTTATTTCTTTGTAACTCAAATGTGCACCACTCCCCCCTAATCCCGGCTACGGCCCAGCAGGTAGTGCATAAAGAGACAAAACAGAAAAAAATACTAAAGGATTTTCTCTCTTGTCCATTCCTAAGGTGGTTGATAAGAATGAGAATGATTCAGAAACAGTCAAATATTACAGATTCCCAATGGGGTAGTAGTGGGGAAAAGAATGTAAAAGAAAAATCATACTGCTCTGTCACTGCAAGAGAAATCCTTCTTCTTTCCAGGAGCCCAACCAGCAGGTCTACCAGCTGCATCTGGAAGAACAAAAGATCCAAAACAAAAATGAAGAGTGAAGACTGAAATCTGTCACAGTGAAAGAGAGCCTTTGAAGTATAATGGTATTTTCTTGGGCAAAAAATAACAGATATTAGCTATGGTTACACTCTAATTGCCTTCAAACAACTGTTTGAAGTCCAGACATTTGGGTCAATACAATGAATGTATAGAAGCTGACCCAGAGCAGCAATTGCTTGACGACAGTAGAGTGTAACTCTAACATCTGCTAATAAAGAAAACAAACCTCCAATGTAAAAGCTATCTTCTTTACTTATATCAATCCCTTGGTTAAGCTGTAAAAGAATAAAGGTTTATTAGAGTAAGAAAACAATAATTAACCCAATAAACAATTGCAATGTTTTTGCATTTTACCTATTGGGAGAGATATATGTAATATATATCAGAAGTATATCTAGAAGTATATACAAAGGGTATTTATAACAGGAATATAAATGAGAAATATATGAGGATGATAGAATGTAAACTGCTGCATATTAGCCATTCTGAGGTTAAGGAAAAAACTGGGTTAAATTGTAGAGTTTTGGGACTGTCTTAGGGAACATATTTCCAAGACGACGTCTACTTTGTCCTTAAAAATAATCCCACAATGCACTGCAATCCCAACTTGACCCAGTTTCCACTGCCAATTAACTCAGTAAGGTCGTCATCAAATGTTACCTTTGTACAAAGGTGAATCCACATCCCTGTACAGGGTTTACGATAGTGACCAGTACCAGGGGATACTAGTACCTGTAGAAAAGATCCACACATAAGATGTCTGATAATATTTTTACCGGGTTACCTGTGGTAAACCAGTGATAAAATACCTTTATTCTATTTTATTTTTTCGTCCTAATTCCTCCCCTACAAAATGGACAAGTTGAATATTCATCAAATTGACTTTCAGCAAAATTTATGGTGCTAATGGTACTATAATCTTAAAGATAACTAATATCATTTTTACAATAACTTACAAATTTCTCGCGCGCTGATTGGTTAATTTTTATCATCAATAAGAGGACAGACAGATAAAGCTGACGTCAACGAGCGCGCGCTCTTTCCATTTGTTGTTTTGATCGCTAAAAATGAGAAGTTTTTATCGTTTTTGTTATTGTAAAAAACCAATTGACATCAGATTTTTATGTGTCTGTCCTCTTATTGACAATAAATTTCGCCATCACATTGTCAAAGTAGTGTGGATCCGCATACTACTTTGACAATGTGATGACGCAATTTATTGTCAATAAGAGGACAGACACATAAAAATCTGATGTCAATTGGTTAAATGCAACTAATATAACTATATCAATACTTTTACCTGAATTGGTACATTCAAGGGCTCTAAAATGTTCTCAACTTTCTTTTTGAAGTCTGGAACACTCACTTTCTTTTTTGCAATGCCATTCTAGGGTACAAAGACAGTGATATAATATAGACAGCTGACACTTTTAAAATAAATCAGTAAATAACTTGTTGGGAAATAGTAGAGTTAGAAGAAACAAGACTAAAAACAAACCTGATTGGTGAAAAAAACAATCTGTAAAAAGAAAAAAAAAAGTGAGAATTAAAGGGGATGGAAAGCATGAACATAGCTGCAATGGTTCCAGCGACAAGTAACACAATTCATTCAGTACTCACTTTGCTGGCAACACTTTCCCAAAGGTACATTATTTCCTCCAAGTTCCCATCCCGCTATGGTACTATTGCTTGAAACAAAGTCATAGGCCCCTTAAGGCATACCTGCAGCATATTCCCCCATTACATGCACAGTTCAGTGTGAAAGACAAAATAAATCAGGTGAAAAATTTATTGGTTTGCCTTCCAAATTGATAAAGAACTGCTGCAAACAAACAATAGTGACCCTTTCTTGGTTTCCAAGGCACAGAAAGACATATTTGTTTACCTTATATCCATCACTCCACAATTTTTTTAACCTCCCAGGTATTTCAGGCAATGCAATTCTGTAAAAGGTATATGAAATTTTTTACTTAGTTATTATAATTTTAACACTCATTTTTAAAAAATACAAGAAAATATTTTTTTCTTACTTCCAATCTGCAGCATCAGTTGGAAAAACTTTTCCAGATTTTGTAGTAATGATTGTACCATCCATATCAAATCCTGCAATCTTGAAAATTAATGCATGTCAATAGTTATTAATGATAGCAAGTGTTTCCCCTAAAGGTGCAGAAATATGAGCAACAAAAAAATCGTGCAACATTGCAGAGTGACTGTTGCTCCTATATTTTACCACCCCGTAAAGCAACAAATTTCGTTGCATGAATTTGTTGCAGAAGTAGAAGCTCTTTCTACTTTCTGCGACAAAGAAAATTTGTCATGCACAGGGGGTAATACAAGCCACATTCCCTCTACAACTTGCAATGCAACAATGTTGGATGACAAGTTGCACGATTCTGTTGCTTGTAACTCAAGAAAAATTTAACCTACGAGCTCAGGGGTAAGAGGCAAGTGCACTTCAGTTAAAGTCACCTTTGATTTCTTTTTTACCATGATTATAGCAGGTCTTAGGTATTAACCATACATACCTTTGATCTTCCTTCAACTCCTTTTCGGGTATAAATCAGAAGTTCCTGCTTTATCTCTTCCCAGGTGCTTGTGGTACAAGGACTACCTGACTGCAGGTTTTTCAAAGGACTGTCCATATCTTTAGCATCTTTGCAAGTTGATTTTACATCTTGTTCATCTTTTGTATTGCAATCCTTGCTGGTGTCTGACCTCATCTTAGCTTTCTTTGTAGTTTTGTGATCATAACTATCATCATTGCCATCACCTTCTTCTATCTTTCTTTTCTTGGATATTTGTTTGTCAGTCAGATTTGATGTTTTAATCTCTTCAATATTATTTTTATTGCCTTCTGTAGTATAAGTATGTTTTGAAGGTGATTTCTTTATAGTTGGGATAATTTTAAAATAAACAAAGTGTGGATATTCTTGTCTCCGTATGCAGATCTTGCCTCCTGGACCCAGTAGTTTTGTTTCACCTTTATTTAACTCTTCGATTCCTATTGAACTTGGTATCTTACCTAGCTGTAGCCATAATAAAAATATGTCAATACTTCTCACACAGAGGATATGAAGGGGTAGATAACATATTTAAGGAATATCTGGCCATTTTTGTATTCACTCTGAAGGAGGCTATCACCAGCATAGCCGAAACTTTAAGTCATGTTTCTATTACACTAGTTTTCTGTACTTAAATGTTGGAACTACTCTTTAAAGAGTGATGAATAAGACATTAGTAGTTAAGTTAATGTTATTAAATACTGAATTAATGACGTTTATCATATCATTTTCATCACCATCAACATCACCATCATTACTATCATTAACCATCATTATCATTACAATCACCATCATCTTCATCATTATCATCAATCCCTATCATCATCATGTACTTTGTACTAACCTGCTTTACTATCACCTCTTTCTCTGCATAATTTGCTGTTAATTGGACTAAAAATTTAAAAAACACTCTAAACACTCTGCGTAGAAAGGAAAGAAAACTCATTCACAATTTCATTTCACATATAGTGATTATAGGTGACTTCTAAGAGCCAATGAAGCAACTGGATAATAGGCTTACGTGATCGACTTCACAAAATCTCACCTTGGTTTCTGGGACATTTTGGGTTTTTTATCTTGAATTGTGGCTTCCTTCCTGCTATAACATCTTCTCCATCAGGCAAGGGAATAGGATCGTGAGTATTATCACAGCAATACAAGAAACACTCCATTGATTTTATCAAAACATTCAAAGGTCATCCGCCATGTTGGAAGTGAGGCACCCTAAAAGACTGGAACTAGTACCCARTTCACTCGAGCACTGATTTCAAAATGGCGGATGCAAAAGAACAAAAATATTTTAGTCTACTTTATTTGATTTTTGCAGCCTTTTTATTACGTATTGGATTCATTATTTATGGCGAATGGCAAGATAGGACTATGGTTGTTAAATATACCGATATAGATTACCATGTTTTTACGGATGCTGCGAGGCATGTGTATAATGGAGGTTCGCCGTATGACAGACAGACATATCGATACACACCTCTTTTGGCTATCATTTTGACACCAAACGTTTCCCTCCACAATGCGTTTGGAAAACTACTGTTTATTTTATTTGACGTCATCACTGGGTATCTTCTGTACAAGATTCAAGTTGAGAGAGGCTTTGGGGAAAAGATTTCATTGATAAGTTCGTGTTTGTGGATGTTCAACCCAATCGCTGTCACTGTATCTTCCAGAGGAAATGCAGAATCCATCATGGCGTTTTTAGTCCTGGCTACTTTATACTCTGCTTTAAAGGATAAACCTTCCTTGACAGCCACTTTTCTTGCTCTAGCAGTGCATTTCAAGATCTACCCAATTATATACAGTCTGCCTATTTTTCTCTTTATTGGAAGCAGGTCACGTGAAAGTGAACGTCTGGAGATTCCAAATCATGTGAAACAAATGCCTATGTTTTTGTTCAAATATGTGCTTCATCCTGCTAGAGTTAAACTTGTCTCGATATTTATTATGACCTTAGGAAGTCTTACCTTGGCACTATACTACAGGTACAACCTTCAAAATTATATGATCTATCGATTGCTTCCACCCCACACCCCAGGGGAAAGGATTAAAAGGAATCACTGAAATTCCATGGACCTTCACTTTAAGACATGAATAGTCAAAATAATTCCATATGAAATTGAGGCTAACCCTGTACAACAGAGAATTTGAAGCTGGAGTATTAACTCTGATCCAAGAGTATAAATGTATACAACAAACGATGAAGCTAAAAAGGTCCATTATATGTCATTCTTGTAAAAAGTGCCCCAGCCCCACTCCCCCAGCTCTGCTGTCACTGCTTGGTTCAGTCTGTAGACAGGATAATCATCTGTAAAAATTTCACATTTTTAGTTGGCAAATTGTTGATAAGCATCTGTTGACTGGTCATAGAGTGCTCACACTAAACCTGTGAAACTAATACTAATTGCTAGCACTAAAATAGTGATAACTAAACAATAGAAAACAAAGGATTCTGTATGAAATAGTACTAATTAGTACTAATTATGGTGCACAGGTTTAGTGCATGCACTCTAATAAAGTACACGATTACCAATTTCTCAACTTTCTCTCTTATAAAAGTTCACCTATTTACATTTTTTATGGGTTTGTTATTTCAGATATGGCTTTGATTTTCTTGAACACACCTACTTATACCATGTCACAAGAACTGATCCAAAGCACAACTTCTCAGTGTATTTTTACATGCTCTACTTGACTCAAAATTCACCTTGGACTAAGGTCATTGGGTTAATGTCTTTCTTACCCCAGATGACACTAACTGTGGGACTGGCTTTCAAACACTCTAAGGATATTTGCTTTTGCTGCTTTGCTCAGACATTTGCATTTGTGACATTCAACAAGGTCTGCACATCTCAGGTATGCTCATCTTGATGATGATTTCAAGTTGTTACACTCATTTTCTTAAGAATGCAAACAACTTGGCCAAAGACATCTGGGTTATTGGCCGCCGTTAATCAAAAACATTACTAACTCAGACCATTGGAAATTTACTTAATAATTATTTACTTAAGCCAAAAACTTGAATTATAGTTAGTTGTCTGGATCACATAATAATGGGAAAGGGTATAAGAAGTAGATGGTGTTGTGGCCTCAGCTGCGATCCAATCATGAGAGCAACAACTACTTGGATCAGGGTGGTAAAAAGTTTTGAATAATCTCATTCAAACTTTATACAGTCTTTAACTAAACCACATTAAACAACATATCAAAGTTTTATCAAGGTTTATTAAATCAATTCTTACCTAATTGTATCTTAGCAGATTGGGCTGCCTGTGCTGTGAAGCCCCATTTATTTTTGTGTTTTATTTTTGTTTCAGTATTTCTTATGGTACCTTTGCCTCCTTCCTCTTGTCACTCCTCAAATTTCAGTGACACTTTTCAAAGCTGTTGTCATGGCATTAGCCTGGTTTACTGCCCAGGTAAGAGATTGGATAAAGTCTGAATGGGCCCAAATATTTTGGGGATTTTGTAGCTACCTTATTACATGAGATTTTCGTGAAACTTTTATTTTGCAATTTTCAAAAAATCAAAGTGACAAAATAGAAAGATAAGTATCGCGAAAATATAATGTTGCGAAAATGAAGTGACCACTTATAATGCATATGCAAGTGAATATTAGATTTAATAACTAGACATGAAAAAACACTCGTTGTTACTGTTATTTAATAAAGTCATTTCATTCAAGGAAACTGTGTGTTTGAATTAAGATAGGCAACGAACAACTCATTCTATGAAATCGAGAAATTAAATTGACTTTGAATGGTGTTTTTTCGCAAAATTGTGAAATTAAAGTAGGGGTGGAAATTTCATGTAATAAAGTAACAATTTTTACACATAAGAATTTTCAATTGATAGGCGGATTATGGGCTGAAGGATAAATTTATTGGATAACAGCATCGATTCATTCACTGAATAGGGATTTATTTATCGAATAGTGCTATCCACCCTTCTTACAACCATGCCCAGAACACTGTACTACATTTGAAGTTTGATGAAAGTTTAAAAATTACTCCAAAAGCACTAGAAAAAAGCTGCTAACCATCACTCTATTTTTGTTTGATGTTTCAGGGCATGTGGTTATATTTTGCATATTATCTGGAGTTTGGAGGTCAAAATACATTTTTACAAATATGGATTGCCAGCCTTTGGTTTTTCTTTGTAAATTTGTGGATCCTGTGTGAAGCTGTGAAAAAGTACATTCCCCTGACTTCAATCAAACCCAAAAAATTGTAAAAAGATATAGCAGTTAAATAAATACACTGATAAATCAATTGACTAATAATAATAATAATTAATGTCTTATTTGGTGCGCAGATTTGATGGCAAAATGCGCGACTATCATCTTGAATTCTAAGCTTAGAGTCTGACCAATCTTTCTTAGTATTGTGGAGGGAGTTTGTGGAATTAATAAGGCAAGTAAAGAAGTTTGAATTGGGTAGCATGAGTGGCGTACGCTGCTAACGCGTCACCACCGTGGTTCCAAAGGTTTGGGTCACTGGTTCGAGGTGTTGTTCTCTCCCTTGTTAGGAGGTTTTTTTTAAAATTTAAGAGCGTATGTCTGTAAGCGTCGAGAATCTTAAATCAGTTTCAAAAAATCGAATTTCTTTTTATTGTACCAAAACAACCCTTTGGGTAAGTTGTTTTAGGAAATAATATCAAAATGTCCCAGCGCGCTTTTATTTTTGAGAAAATTGCAAAAGTTTGAAAAA